AATGATAAACCAAACTTTCATAAATACGTTTTGATGAGCTGCATCACTCACAACAGCGTTTTGATGAACTATAACTTGACATAATGTATTATCGAGATCATATTTACTTTCATTGTAATATTTCTTATTAGGCAATCCTTCAATGTCGTAATTAGGATCGCCGATTGTTGGAACACTCCAGGATAAGGTGAAAGTGCTTGAACTACCGTCATCTATGATGCAAGTGGCAATACCTTTCAATCCGCCAAACCTATGACTTGTAATGCAGGAAAATGTTTCATTTTGACCAATTGCGAGAGGTTCTGTTTGTGGTTCGCAGTTTATGTCGAGATTTTCATGATCATCATGCCTAACATAACGTCCATCTTCAAGTTTAATGATGTGAGTCATATTATAACCACTCTTATTAACGATAACAATGGTTGCAACACGTGCATGGTGTTTCTTAGCAATGTTGTCTGATAACGAAGCACAACAACCTTTTCCTTGACAAGGGGTAAAATCAATAACTTAAAGGGTTGGAATCAATTGTTGTTGATAAGATAACCAGAATGATAAAGACATTAATGATGAGAGTTAAATGTTTAAGAGACATAATGTAAATTCATTATAAGCATAACTTTGATCAAACAAATAACCTTTTCAAATATTTAATATCAAAAAAAAAAAAGTATATATATATATATAAAAGGTAATGATAAAAACGCATTTTACAATCTCAAAGTCAAATGTATAAGTTCGGAACGGAATTTTTACGCAATAAAAAGTTACTTGTAATGGTGGGACGGTACAAGTTAATGATAAAAGTAAAAAGTTAGGGCTTGGCATTATTTATAATTACTGTAATCGCTAAGCACTAGTGGGCTGAGCATATAATAAAACACGTTGCTAACTTTTTAATTTTACTTTTTTGAATGTATGTTTTTTTAAAATTCATTTTGAATTGAATTGTATGAAATTAAACCTTTTGTGCCTTTTGTTTTTAAATTCGACGCAATCATTATGCGCTCGCGCGCGTGATATGTCCGTCAGCAAGAAAAATGAATTTGAAATTTCTTTTTTGTATTTTTCCAATAAAAGAACCTAATTTTATACTTTATAGTCATTTACCGTAATATAGATCATTTTTGATTATTATATTTCTAAATTGACATCTTTAAAACGAACCGGCCATAGGACAATGTTCTATTCTATAGATTACCCTTTTGAACCCCCGTCTTCTAAGTACTTATTCTCAGAATATTAAACTTTCTTTTATTGATCCATTCATTATTAGGATAACTAACTAAATAATTCAAATTGAATCCACAAAAGAGTCTCTTCCGTAATGAAATGAAATTTCGTTAAACTTTTGGAAATCCTGATATACTAGGTATAATAGAGGAAAAATTCTTTAAAAATTCTTAAATTTAGAATTAAGTCCGAATCTCTGTCTAGGTCCGAAACAGTCTCTAATTCCAAAGTTTAAAGCCCGTTAAATTTTGCAAATTTGATAACATGATAAAGTTGTGAATTACGCCTCAAATTTTATTGCCCACCTACTGCGCCACTAAAAATAGATCTCTGAAAAAAAAAGGAATAATATTAAACAATACAGTCACCATGAATAGAAAAAGACATACAGGTTCCGATTTCGGTTATAATATTCCTATCAAATAAAGAGATAATACCATCAATAATTATAGATAAAAAACGATAAAAAATCTGGACATGAAGAATTTGATAACCAAGTTAGGAAATTCAGTAAAAAAATGATGCGGTGCTTAAGAAATGCGCTATTCGAAATTATGGATAATATTGACAGAATTGTGAAAAACAGTCACTTTGAACGAATCGTTTTTTCGAGTTTTATTGAATGTTATTAAGCAATTACAACTTTTAAAAGGACCGTTAAATGCTTGCGTTTAGCCAGATATTTTTCAAACTATAACCGTTTCTCCTGAACACCACGTAGAGGTAGCAAGCTTCGTTCAGGTTAAGAATACTTGAACCACCACATATCAAATGTGATAGCTCATTTGAGGTGAAAAAATAATGTGCAAACGAATATAATGGAGGTATAATTTAAAAATAAAATAAATAAAAAAATCACCTCAAGACATCATCGAAATACATAAAGAAAGATTAAAAAAATTTTTTTTTTTTTTAATATTTATATAAAATAAAAAAATAAACTCTAAATTAAAAAAAAATTACGGATGAAGTGGCCAAAAGAGGAAATACTTTAATTGCAAAAAGGAAAGACGAAACAGCCAACTTCATATAAAGATACGATACTTTGTATCGTAGTCATGCTTATCAAAAGATAAGCACCCTAGTGAAAATTTATAAAAGGGGAATTTTTTTTTGATTTTTTTTTTTTATATTTTTTTTTTTTTTTGTTTTTTTATATTTTATTTCATTTATTTTTAAAATTT